ATGGAAAAAATTCTAATTCAGTGCCAAATGGTAAATAATGTTGGGGGAAGTGGGAGAGGGTGATGTGTTACTCTACATTCAGTTAAAAGCTCAAGATCTAAACCTCTTAATTGTGTATTCAAAAGTCCATTTCTGGAGAGTAAATTCTTCTCTCCCTGCCCAATGTAAATTCCTCCTCTCTCTCCTCCAGAAGTTAGTAGAAACTGGGGACTTTGAGTCGTTGTCATCTTGCTTGTCGTTGTCATATTCAGATGATATGGAGTGTTACAAGTAATTTTTTCACCTTCATTACAAGCTTAATGTATAGGAAGATGTCAGTCTTGCAGGAAAAAGTGTCTCCAGTGGAAAATATTGACCCAGCTTTTACTATTTGCTCTTTTCCAAGCCGTGTCTAAATTGACAGCAAAATCTTTGAAATATTCATCCAGGAGAAGCTTTATCAGTATATTAGAGTAGAAAATTTCTTATTTTACGGTACAGATGGCACTCACAGTAATTCATGGCAATATGAACATTACAGGTTATGAAAGTCAATAACATTTTTTACTTAATTCAAGTTGGGATGCACAATCATTGCTGATCTTTCTCTGTTGACTTACTGCTTACCTGGTTATTCTCCGTCTTCCATTTGCATTTTTAAATTCTTCTCAGCTTACTACCACCCACTTTCCTTTACTGAAATATGTCTTGTGGATTTTTACATTATGAATTTTTTGGAAAATAATCTTGTATGCTAATCTTGTTACAAGATTTTCTGCTTTGTTACTTCAGTATTATTAGAGCCCATTTTTTGAGAATACCCTTAGTTTCACATTCCTTTTAAGTGAAAGTGTTAATTAGAAGCAGAAGGGCTTTGAATGAATTGTATCCATGTCAGATTCAGATGGCACCCCACTGGAAATGCTTTCAGGGAACTGCTGGTTCAGCCTCTGAGAAGGCTAGAAGCTTAATTTTGGCTGTTGTACATGTAACACAGACATAAGGCATGTCTGTATATTTTCCTTTTGAGAATGTTTGGTGGGACATTCCAAGCTACCACCTTTATGAGGCAGACCATGTGTTCACTCCTCAAGTGACACTGTCAAGGAATGTTTCTTAATTTTTGTTACAGCTTTGAGTTTACTGTGGATTAAAACTGTAAAGATTTTCTGATCAGTGAATTTATCCTGATACGCCTGTAGTGTTATTTGCACTGTGCAGTTTCAGAAGTCTGCAGACACAAGGAGCTATGTTTTTATGCCAGCAGATCTTACTTTTCCCGTGTTTTATTTTGGGGATGTCAAAAATGAGTTCAGCAGACTTCTTACACCTCTCAATGATTATTGCATTAAGCCTCTTTTGCTAGCATTTTATAAACTTGTGCATCTAAAATCAGACATACTCTAATAAATACACCAATATCATCATCTCACATGGCTTACTGCACGTAAAAGTGGATTGGACTATTTTAGACATTTGTTACATAGACACAATTTTTCTATGGTAGTGTGGTTTAGAAACTACTTGACTGCTATCAGTATTAGAGTTTTGACAAGTACATTG